ATACTGAAAACTGCTTTTTCAGAGGATCAGTACTTTGTGCTTTCTGAAGATCCTGGCTTCTTTCAAGCACTTCAAATCAGATGCCCCAAATTGCTAGTTAATTTTTCAGTTTATGTCTACTGAGTGACCCCACACATAATAAATTCCTTTTATGTACTCTCATTAATAATATGAATGTCCTATAATTGTGTGCTACTTGCAGATATTTCCATAATGGATACTTTATATTTCCTCATTCTTCCTGCCTTTGAATCTGTCTCCTTTCCAGCCCCATGAGACAACCAGCAAAGCCCAAAAACGTGTTGCGGGGTGGGGTGGGGTGGGGTGGGGGACAGGAATCAAACACCTTCCATTCTGGTCTGCAGTCTGGAGACAGGAAGCATAACTTTACAAATCACACCCTCTGATTTGAGAGACAGAACTCCCCTTTCAGTATCCTCTCCATGAAGTTACCCCAGCTTCTTTCATCTTCTTTCAAACCTAAGGTGGTTGTGGAGCTCTGCTTCATTCTCTTGCTGCTGAGCATGATCCTCACCAATATTCACCTGTTCTAGACTGCAGGGCTGCTTTTGTTATTTCCCAGTGATCTGTGGATGGAGGGGCTTCTGGGCTTCCAACTGCTGCTTTTTACAGATCACTCTAGGCATAGCTACTCCTGCTACCCTTATGCTATGCATTATTCTCTATTGTTGCAAATAAGAACAGTACAATTTTAGATTTATTTTTAAGAGCTAATTACACTTATTGAAGGAAAATTGGCTTTTGTCAGTTTCTTTTCAAATTTGCGAGTTCTCTAACTCATATTTCAAGGCATCCTTTCATCCTGGAATAGTATGCATGTGACACTTTTAACTACTTTTTCCCCACAATGTTTTAAATTCAGATATTAAAAATCTTAACACTTTGGAATAGGGACTGGTTTGACACTTTTACCCATTAATATAGTCTCAAGTATATCTTTTGACAAAGTTTTGAAACGAATTCAGATGAAGTGGAGTTGTATCTAAATTAATGAACTCTGTAGTAAGTTTAAAATACTATATTTATTGGGTTGGAGATAGGGTCAGTTAGCCTGTATAGAGCTGCGTGCTATCATGACTAGGTTGCTTGTGGCTTATCTGCCAAAAACGAAGGCGTGTTTAATAAAACTTGTTTGTATTCCTCTTCCCACAACTGTTGGTCCAAAAGGATCTTTGTGTACGTTTCAGAGAAGGAAGAGCTTGATCTTCAATCTATATTTCTTGTTTTAAGTTTCATTTTGGAAGTGCTTACAAGCTAATTTAAATATTTTGTATACTTTTATTAAGATTTTTAACTCTCTAAATCTTTCTTTCATTATTTTTAATTGTAAACCTACCCTAGGCAAGAAATATGAAGTTCACATGGAAAGTGGATTGAGTAATGAGAAAGGACTTGAAATTTTATCTCTCTTTGTTGATATGAAAATAAATGATATGCCTGCCCAAGCTGATAAAATTGTAAGAGAATGCAAAGGTATGATGTTTATGATTTTTTACTACTTCAGAAACATTTGTATTTTGTAATTTCTATTATATAAACATAAGTTAAGAGGGATTCTGTCATGCTGTAGTACTTTAAACAAACAACATGTTACTGCTGGATTTCCCTTTGTTTCTTTAAGTGACCCTAATGGATTTTTCTTCCTTTCATTTCTTTATCCTGTTTAATTCTGTTCAGAGTACTTGCAGGAAGAGTATTTAGGTGAATCCTATAAATTTCATACCACAAGTATCTATGTCGCATATTTTTCCCACCTGGCTTTTAAGACTTTTGTTGCTAAAACAAGAGCCAGTCTTTTTAGAACAGCAGTTGCTGATGAAAACACTTTTGGATCCAGTAGTAGTTTATCCTAATTTGAGATTTTTGGTCCTTTTCTTTGATGTTTTCAGGTTCGCCTCTTGTGTTATCATTGATAGGCGCATTATTACGCGATTTCCCCAATCGTTGGGAATATTATCTCAGACAGCTGCAGAATAAGCAATTTAAAAGGATAAAGAAATCTTCTTCTTATGATTATGAAGCACTTGATGAAGCAATGTCCATAAGTGTTGAAATGCTGAATGAAAACTTTAAAGACTTCTATAAAGATCTTTCTATTCTTCCAAAGGATGTTAAAGTGCCTACTAAGGTAATTATGCCAAATCTGATGTTTTATAATTATTGGTGGGATTGAAGGTCCTCTCTTTTTGTAGTTATTTGGGGGGATTCTTTGTTTTGTTTTTAGTAGTACTTAGTCTAATCAGTGTGTGATCTTAATGAAAAACTTTTAGCACTGCTAAGCTGACAATATGAGCATGTCTACCTGTGCTCTTTAATGTGCATTAGTTTGTTTTAATGCGCATTAAAGTAAGCTAATGCTCCTTTTTCTAGTACCTCACATTGAAGGTACTAAATTTAATGTGCGTTAACAAAAGCAAATTAATGAACGTGTAGATGCACCCATAGTGTAGCAGACTAGGTCCATCATTAAATAGTAGTATTTTCGCTTGAAGACTAAAGGAAGATAACGTAAGCTGGTGAAGTATTATTACAGTAAATATCTGTGTTTATATAGCTCTTTTAATTGGACAGTGATTTCCCCAAAAGTGAAAGAAACTGGTCTAAAACAAAATTTCACTCCTTTCATAGCATCTGCTGGAGTAGGTTGCTGCCTTTGAAAGCTCATGCTTCTCTGAATCAATTATTCTGTAAGTTGCCACCCTGTTCTACCTCCCACCTCAGTGGTGGGCAGTTATTTGGGCTGGAGGGCCATTTAGGGAGTTTTAGTGACAGCTCATCAAAATTCCCTAAGTAGCTCTGCCCCGTGCTTGGCTGAGTGGATGGGATGAGACCACAGGTGGGCAGGGAGCAACATCTGGGAGCAGGGCAGGGGCTGGGATTGGGATCGTGGGGTGATGACAGTGTGGGCTGGGACCCAAGGAAAAGCTGTGATCAGCTCCCCACATGCCCCTTCGAAGGGCACTGGTTCTGTGGGCAGGGTTGCGCATGAAATGGATTGCAGCTCTGGCCCTGTGCTCTCACCATCCTGCGATCCCAGGGTCTCCATGGAGATTGGCTGGGATCCATGTGGGCAGGGATCGCAACCAGGGAGATGGGATGGGCCCACGGGCAGACAGGGAGTGGCATCTGAGAGCAGGATGGGTGGGCAGGCCAGGCCAGGGATTGGGATTGTGGGGTGGTGATGGCATGGGGCCAGGGCTTGCCTCTGCCTACGGAACTGGCAGGGATGTGTGTGGAGCCCTGGCCCCCGTGCTGTCACCACCCCGTGATCCCAATCTCTGACCCAGCCCTGTCCACTTGTGTGCTGGTCCCCATGGAGACCCCGCTCTCTACACTCTATCTGCCATCTCCAGCAGTGGGTGCAAGGAGGACAGGCTGGGGTGCCTGGGCAGTGGAGCCAGGTCCAGCGGCAGTGAAACTGGCAGCAGCAGCTAGAAGGAGCTGGAAAGCGACTGCTCCAGCGCTGTCATGCACCCAAGCGTAGTGGGACCAGCCGCACACACTGCGGCCCAGGCTGTCCCATGTGTCTGGGCCAGGTGTGGCCAAAGGACACACCGCAGGCTGGATAAAATTCCATGGTGGGCCAGATCCAGCCTGCAGGCTGTATTTTGCCCACCCCTGTTCTACCTCATGTCAAAAATGGTTAGTAGTTTGGATTGCTAACAAAAGTAAGCATGATGACTGTTAATCAGGACATGTAGATAAATGGAGATAAAGGGATGAATTAACTGATGGGCTGTGTCTGTTGGAGGAGTCATTATATCTTTCTCTCTTGCATACCAGATATTGCTCTTGGTCTAGCATATGTTTAAAGGGCTCCCAATATATAGTCAGTAGTGCAGGCTAGAGCTTTCTCAGGCTATCCTCAAGATTTGGTTCACTCCTGAATCTTCTCCTGGGGAGGAAGAAGAAGAAAGGCAGATTTAGCTTTTAGAGTTCTCTGGTCCCCTTTTTCCTAGGGGCACAAAATCCCAGGTCTAATTTAGTTCCTGGAACAGCCCTTTTAGCTGTCACCCTACAGAGAACATTAGCTGCAAGTTGTGACTTTTTATAACTTTTGTATAAAAGGTCAGATTGAGTCCCTCTTTCTACCTTTCTTGTTTTAAAATGCTTTTAGGTGTTCTGTATTCTTTGGGATATGGAGCCTGAAGAAGTTGAAGACATACAGCAAGAATTTGTAAACAAATCTCTCTTATTCTGTGATCGTAATGGGAAATCATTCCATTATTATTTGCATGATCTTCAACTTGACTTCCTCATAGAGAAGAATCGTGAGCAACTTCAGGTAGTATATCCACAAACTGAGATATGCTTTTAACACAGGTCAGGTATAGAAATTATATATGCTTTTCTGCGACAGAAAATCAACAGGGGTCTGAAAAGTAATCTCCATGTTCCTTGATGCTAAACCATTTTTTGTAAAAACAAATTTTTACATGCAGTTAACACAGGTTATTTCCAAATAAATTAATGACAGATTTTTTTTCTTCCAGTCATACGTAATTTTAACAATTCTGATATTGTGAAATACAAAAGTATTTAGCTTGGCTGACGACAGACTTGTTCTGGAGTTAGGAGCCTCTTTTAGATCAATGTCATCTTTTCTCTGTAGTTTTTCTGCCAGTGATTTATTGCCAGTAAAAGATGTAGTGCTCCATCAATGATATTGAGACACATCAAAATGCCATTACAATTGCATTTACCACAGATAAGCAAGAGTGTGAGTTTTGAAGGTTTTTGCGTGAAACTGCCACAACAAATGAGAAAGTGATTGGAAACTAGCCAACTTTTTCTTTCTCCCTACTCATTGAATAGATTTAATGTTTGCATAACTAGCAGGCAGTGTGAAAGAGAGTAGAGTAGAGAAACAAGATTAATAATGGGAAATTAGTGCAATACATAAAACACCACGAGTGACGATTTATGATTGGTAAGTATAAAATCTTTTAAATATTGATGCCAACATGGTTTTCAGTATTTTGCTTGGAGTGTAGTTCTTTAATCAAAACAAGTGATGAGCCATGGTAGTGTCAAGTTAGAAGATAGGGCATGGTAGCTAGGGCTGTGTGAAATTTTGCTGGCTGTTTCATTTTGAGACTGTTTCAACTCATTTCAAGCTCGAAACAGCAAAATTGAAACGAAACAAATGGCTTTGAAACAGCCTCGAAACAAAACAAGGGCAGTCGAAACATTTCAAGTTTCGAAGCAGCCTGGCTGAGTCCCCCTCCCCAGCGCTAGGATCAGGCTGGGGAAGGCAACTCAGCCCAGTGGTCCCAGGTGGCAGCACCTGGCTTCCCTCGCTCATCTGGCAGGCAGATCGGGGGCCTGGAACCCTGGGAGGACTGGCATTGCCCCCGCAGCCCTTGTAGGGTTGCGGGCCCCCGATCTGCTTGCTGGATGAGAGAGGCTGTTTTGAGCTTCCCCATTATAGCCTGTGGGCGAAACATCAAAACAGCATCACTGTTTCAACTAAATGGAACAGTGGTTTCAAATCGAAATGAAACTGTTCCACTGAAACGTCAAAATGCAAGTTGAAACAGAACAGTGCCGTTTCACACAGCCCTAATGGTAGCTTCTTGGTGGTTTAGAGTGGTATGCCTAGTTTAGGGCCATTCTTCTTCGAACCAGTTTGTAAGGTGAGCGCCTGCTCTACGTTTTGCCTAATCAGAACACAATTACTGTAAAAGGCTTTATCAACCTATTGTTCTGACTTAATCATTTGAAATATCCAAAGGTTAACACATTTAAACTTCTTCCCAAGTCTTGACATATAAATTATAGGTACATCATTAAAAGGTTGAGCTGTTGTTCATTTTGATTATGTAAATCTGTAGCATCTTTTTCCGAGCAGCTACTGAAAAGATTAGAATAATAGAGTGACTAGTTTTCTGGTAACAATTCAAGCTAAAGCTTTTTGATGATGCATCCTTTGAAATGTAAACTTAATTGTAAACTTAAGTTTTAAATGTACGGGTTTTGAAAGTGTGTTTTTTGTCACGCGTTTTCTAGATTGTATTGAGGATGTTCTTGGGGCATTATATCGATGAAATTCTTCCAGTGTTACTCTAGAATCATTTTATTCCTAAGGGTACTCCTTAATGAATAGTGAACAAGCTTAGTATCTCAAGGGACATAAAATGTATGTTTTGAAGAAAAGAAATAGAATAATAATATTTCAGCAAAAAAGCTGCTCTAACATCCTCAATATAGTAATTAATATAGGATTCTGTGAGGATGTGAAAAAAGTTTATAGTCATCATATATACATTATGAAGACAAATAGATAACCTATTAACCTTACTGTTGCACAGTCATGTCTACCTGTTTGCAAATTAATTGTGGAATTCTTTTCTGTTTAAAACATCCGTATACTACAAATATTTAATTGGGATTTTGTTTGAAAAAGTTGCTGTCTTAAAGATAAAACTACTTAGAAGATGCTGTAGGAAAAAATATATGAAGAAAAGTAACCTTTCAAATGGTATATTTAGTTAATTGATCTGCTTATTTAGTTTATTATGCACTTTGTTGATATGGTAACAGAAAAATTTTAATAGATTCATTCAATAAAATATTTTTAAAGACAAATGCTAATAGCAATATAATTAGCTGTTAGGGCTGTGCAAAACAGCTATGTTTTGATTTGGTTTCTGATTTGGCTGTTTCGGGGGACAGTGGTTTCTTTCAGTGTTTCAGATCCCTGTCCTGTTTCGTTTTGGCCAAATCTGTTTCAGAGATTTGAATCTCCTCCAAATCCGTTTTGAATGGGCTGCAAGTTTTGCATGGCTCTACTGCCCAGCCAGGTGGAGCTGCAGGGCCCCATTGGGGAGCAGGACAGGGCTGTGGATGGCTCATCCAGGGGAAGGCTGCTGCCCTCCGTGCAGGTGAGGAGACCCCTGCACAGATCTCTGATCCCTGTCACGTTGGGTTGCAGGGCAGGGAAGCAGCGCAGAGTGGCGAGCAAGCCTGCCGGTCCCTGCCACATGACTTGGCTTCATAGGGAGTAGAGATCTGCACTGGGGGTCTCCTTGCCGCAGCTGCCTGCCCCACACTGCCCCGGATCTCTCCTCCCTGCAGAGCCAGGTCGTGCATCAGGGACCAACACTGCCCTGCCATGCGACTTGGCTCCGCAGGGAGTAGAGATCCGCACTGGGGGTCTCCTTGCCACTGCTGGCCGCCCTGTGCAGTCCTGTGTCGAATCGCACAGCAGGGCAGCAGCATACAGCTGTTTTCCTGCAAGCCCAGCTCCGAAACTCTGAAATTTTCCAAAACATTTCTGAAACGTTTCAGGTTCCTCGCTTCATTTCGGAGATGTTTCGGAGCCTTCCATTTTGATTCGGATTTGGTGTTTTGGGCCCTGAAACAGCCTGAAACACCTCTGAAACAAAATGTCTGCCAACATTTCATGAAGCCCTATTAGCTTTCATATGGTACTAATTGAAGATGTTCTAATTGTTGTAGGAGCTGCATGAAAAGATTGTTAAACAGTACAAGAAACATTATAGATTATGTATACCTACTCCAGGTGAAGAGGATTGCATGTACTGGTATAACTTTTTAGCGTTCCACATGGCTAGCGCTAAAATGCAGGAAGTAAGTACTGATTGGTGTCCTGTCATCCTTTCCTTACGACTGATATTTCCCTTGGTTTGTTGATTGTTTGTTTGGCTTTTAGTTTGTTTGAAATGTTTCAGTTGTTTGAATTGCTTGATATAGTGGCTGTGTCTCAAATATTTATTATTGTAGAACAAACTTTAATGCCTTTCCATAAAATGAAGATTAGTTGATTAAAGTAGATTATGAGTTGTTGCCTTTTTTCTCCTTTACTCTGTATAGAATTCATTATAAGTAAAATGTGGAGATTATAGGCAACCCAGGGTAATCCAAGATAGGAATAATTTTAAAACAATTTTCTTGGATTTGCTAAGCAGAACTTAAATTAGTCTTTTTTTTGTTTTCCTTTTCTTTTGTCCAGTTGGAGATTTTTCAGAGGTGGTTATAGTTGTGATGATGATTGGCTTTATACCTGGTAGTTAATACTCTTGACAAAATTTCAGTCCAGTGAAAGCTTTATCAGAATCTATTCTGAAAACCTCTATAAATTGTTTTGTTGCATTATATTTTTGTTTTGACCATATGCTTAAAACTGCTTCTTGAGAAAGCTTAGACTTCCTCCAGTTGCAGAAACAGCACAATAATTACAGAGTACTTATTTTGGGTTTTATTCCTTAATAAGGATCAGACACATGACAGGCTAGCACTACTAAACTGGCTGCCTGTAGTAGGAGCTATTACCTTTAGGTGCCAGGGACTCTATGTGCATTGAGCAATAGGCTACCATAGGATGCAGTTTACTAGTGAAGCAGATACAACACATTGCATGTAATAACTTCCTGATGTAGAAAAGTTATTTAGGTTTTTCAAGGAGTAACTTTTACCTGGATTCAAGAGATTTACCATGTCACAGGGTTGTGTCGTCTGTCTGCTCTCCTTTTACCTAGAATTACCATATTTCCAGTTTCAATAAAGAGGACACCAGTTGGGGGGCAGGGAGTGGGTGCTATATGATTGTGGGGGGACTGATATTCCAGTGCCCTGCCCCTGCCCATGCTGCTGCCCCTCGCTTCTAGGCCACGGTCCACAGCCCTGTTGCTGCCCCTTACTCCTGACCCACAGACCCGTGGCTCTGCCAGTGCCCCTTACTCCCAACCCACAGTACCCCACCCTTCCAGACCATGCTGGTGCCCTGCACTTTTGACCTGCAGCCCCTTGATCCTGCCAGTGCCCCACACTCCCGACCTATTGTCCCCCACCCCAGGTGCCCCTCATTCACAAGCCACAGCCTCTCCAGCCTTGCTCCTCCCAGCCCTGCAGCATCTCCTGGCCACCCCACCACTTCAAGCAAGGGCACCAGCCCCAGTGCCACCGGCCTGGCCACACAGCTCCCTGCTGCTGCCAAAGAGCCACCCACTCCCAAATCCCATTTTCCCCACTGGAGGGGTAGGTGCCTCCCCCCTGTCCTTCTGCAGCCCCAGTACCTAGGCAGCTTCTCCCAGCACCAGTAGGCACCTGTCACCCCTCACACACCCATCCCCTCCCTATACCACACATGCACACTCCCCAAGCCGCTGGCCCTCCCATTCCCACTCCCCATAGACTTACCTGCGTCCAGCAGTCAGGGCTGCTCCTGCCACCCTGACTGTGCCTGCACGTGCAGGTAGTGCCCCCTGCTTCCAATTGCCGTCCTCCTTCCCCCAGCCCCAAACAGCTCCTTGCTAGGGCAAGCTGAGAAGGGCTGAGAAAAGCATCAATGCTGAGCAGAGCAAAGTCCCAGACATTTGATCATATTTTTAAAAACTGCCTAGACAGAGATCAGAGGACCCAAAAAGAGGACATGTCTGGGGAAAACCTGGATGTATAGTAACCCTACTTTTACTACATTGGTGCAACTACATGTGCACTTTAGTGTGGAGTAGACTGATATGCTCCACAGTAAAGCTTCACCATCTACATGTGCACAGGTATTAAGGTGTAATTAATTATCTCTGCCATAAGATAGTACTGCCTGCCTCCTAGCTATGCACTTTAACATCCTTGTGCCTCAGCCAGCTCTTCCATTGTCTGACACTGCCGCTTGGAACCCGGGCCTGAACCTCTAGTTCCCTGCCAGCCCGGGACTGCTCCACTCTGGCTCAAACTGCTGCAGTCTTGCATGCCTGGGAGCAGATGACTTGGGCACAAACTGTACCGGAGTTTATCATGTTGCCTTAATGGCACATGTAGATGCACCCAGTATGGTCAGCTTCTTATATATAGTAAACCTGTTGTTCATCTGCACTCTTTGTAAGTACTTACAGATTGTGGTTGAAGAGCCCACTTTAAGGATTTTAAATGCTGTCTCCTGTTTGTGCAATTGAACTAAAACCTGTTTTTACCCTGCAGGCCCTAGCCTCAATTTTTCCAGACATACGTTTTATATTCTTTATGACACCTCATAATGGTTTCATTCGTTGATCACTCTTATGGAAGTTCATACCTGTGAAACAGCAGTTTTCAAAGCTCATGATGACTGCTGTTTTTTCTGTACACATTTAAAATCAGTGCTAGACACGGTGCTTATATTTATCCAATAATGTTTTCTCTGTTTTTCTTAAACTTTTTTTCTTTACAGGAACTGTGTGATCTCATGTTTTCTCTAGATTGGATTAAAGCCAAAACAGAATTAGTAGGACCTGCCCATCTGATTCATGAATATGTAGAATACAGTTATATACTGGATCAAAAGGTATGATACTATAAATTAAATGAGTAATATGTTTAATGTTCTCTAACCAGACTTCATTTTCATAGTGTTAAAATAATGATGTATTTAGAAGTAAAAGGAAAGAGTGAACTCTGAAGTCATCTTCAAGTAAAAGCTGTAGTTTGGGGATCAGAAAATTAATCCATGGACACCATGGTTTACATGTAGATGCTGATTTTAGTGTTTTCAGTACCTGCATGGTTGTTTTTTTAATTTTTTCAGTCTTAAAACTGAATATTGTAATTATACAAAGCTAAAAAATCTTGAATAATTATTGTATTTACTCAAGTCCAATACAAGGGTGTCCTGTCCCATTGGATGCATGCTTTGTCAGGGTTATTTGACCCCAGCAGTCTTTCCTGCCCAGAGCAGTGGGGGCTGGATCCAATGATCTCACAAGGTCCCTTCCAGCTGTAAACTTCTGTGAATATGTCCTGTCTTGTCCCCTGTGTGTCCCCTACCAAGATGGGACAAGTAGCTGCTGCAGCCTCAGCTCCAGGGCTGTGTAGTAGCAGGGGGGAGAGGGAGAAGAGCACAACGAGGGTGGCACCCAGTAGAGACCATGTGAAGGAGTGGGGTTTTAGGGAGGGAGACCTGTTTGGGGCGGGAGGGGAGGAGGGGGCATGCAAGGGAGACTGCATGATAGGGGAGCATGTGTAGGGGTGACCTGTGGTGTGTGACTCAGCGTGAGCACAGCGGAAGCAATGCAGCCTGCCTCTCGCTCTGCTACTTAATTTCTGCTCTGTCCCCAACTTGAATCGACCCAGGCAGCCTGGAGCTACCACTGTTGCTTCTGCTTGGCCAGGCTGGGGACAGGGCTACTGCTGACTGCACTAGAGCTGGTTCATAAAGTAATCAGTAAGGGATTGAGGGAATAGGCAGCGGGTGGGCAAGTGGCTGAGGGTAGGGGGATGGGCAGTAGCGTGGACAAGTGGTGGGAGCAGGGCAGGCAGTAGGGTGGACAAGTGGCTGTGGTGCAGGCAGAATGGAGGAGGCAGGTGCAGGCAGAAGAAGGGAAAAGTGGTGGGGGTCTCGCCACCTACCCCCTACCGCTACTTATCTGGTGCAGCAGTGGTGGTGGGGAGGGGATTTAAGATGTGCCCCCTCCCCCCCCCATAATTGTATTCTGTACATGGACATTTGTCATTTCCTGTTCCCTTAATTTATAATATTTCATGTATAGAATCTAATTATTGGCGGGTTGTCTTAAATTCAAAGTCATCTTGGATTTGGGTAAATATGGTATTAAACAACACTCTGGAAGAGTGCTTGAAGTTCCTTAATCCTGATGGAACATACTTTTATCTTTGCTCTGTCATTAGCCCTATTTACCTCAATAATACTGCTTTCAGACAAGGGTGCTATTTAATGTGAGTAATTATTGTAGTATCTGGGCACTTATTCGGGAGAAATTCATCTAACATGTACCTTATGAAATAAAATCTGACCTGACCCAACCCTTAAGTGTTCCTTTTAAGGAAGACTAAATATAAACCATGTTTCTGAAAGAGTAACAGAATAATACATATTGGAAGAGACCATTGTTTTTTATTTATTTACTTATTTATTTTTTCCTATTCTGGAGATATTATCAAAACTCTCTTTCATACAGAATAGCCTAGCACGTGGGAACTTTCAGAAATTTCTCTCTTTAAATGGACACCTTCTTGGACGACAGCCATTTCCTGATATTCTACAATTAGGGCTTTGTCAACCAGAAACCTCAGAAGTATATCAACAAGCTAAACTAAAGGCACAACGAGAAGTTGATAAAGGAGCATTTTATGTGGAATGGATGTAAGTAGACACCGTCAACCAACCCCACCAACAGCCTGGGATTGGGGCCCCAGGGGCCTGTGCGTCATCTGCCCAGTCCCTTGTGCTGGGATTGAGGTGCCAGGGCCTACGTCATCTCTGTCTGGCCCTGTGTCAGGTATTGGAGCCTGTGGCCCTGTGCTGCCTCTGCCTGGCCCTGTGTATTGGGTTTGGATTCATGGGGCTATGTGCTGCCTTCCCTTGGCCATGCTAGAATTGGGCCCTGTGCTGCCCTGCACACTGGATGTAACGTGCAGGGCCATAACTGAGTAATCCCCACTGATGTTAAGATCTCATTTTACTTAACTGTTCAGATTTCAACCTATCCTTTCTTTATTTGTACTACTGGCATTTCAAAAGTACTAATTATTTTTGGCTAATGTGTTTCTACTTAGATTTTTTTCAAATCTTTTTTTTTTTTTTCCTACATCTTAAAGATTTTGGAAAAACTGTTGGTAAAGCTGGTAAAAATGCATCTTATAAAAATAAATCTTAGCCTATTGATTCAGACACTTCAGTCTCAAACAATGAAAAATAAAACCTTTTTTCTGTCTTTGTATCTGGATCCGTGAGTCAGCTGTAGGACATATAACCATATTGGTTGAACATCTGAGACGGATCTCATGTGTTGGTTAAACCATCTCTGTAAAATAAATTATGCCCAAGAAATGTGAAGAGTTTAAGTTGTTGTTAAAGGGCAAAGGTCCCTCTGAGACTACCAGCCCATTGCCATGCCCTGCTTGACATGGCAGTTTTTTCAATAAATATGCCATATTACATATAATCAGCACTCTGAATTACTTGTTACCTACTTACAGCTGAGCTTTACTAGGGACAGTCCTCAGTACAAGTCTAGAGCAAACACTAAGATAGGATTACTTGATTGTTCTAAAATCACTGATTATTACCTTCCTGTGTTATAGAAATAAAGGCATGAAAAACCTCTCCCGTTTGGTTGTCCGACCACACACAGATGCAGTTTACCATGCCTGCTTTTCCCAGGATGGACAGAAAATAGCTTCTTGTGGAGCTGACAGAACAGTGCAGGTAAAATGTGCAGACTCAAGTAAAACTGAAATGCACATCTCTGGCCACATAGTGCTAAGATTTTTCTGGGTTTGTTCTTGTTATTTTACTTTATTATGCAAAAGTGCCAGGAAACGAGAACTCTTCAGAGGGAAAATAATTTAAAGTCATATAGTCAAGGTTGTTTAATTATACATGATTGTATTGCTTGTGTTTATAGAATCATTTTTTATCTGGATGTGTACAGGGGTTTGTCTTCTAAATACTATTGCATCCTGTATGCATACTGGACTGTTTCTGTTGGTATAGACCTTGTAGCCTGATGTAACCCTACCAACAGGCGCACAAAACACATTTTTCTGTATTCCTTTGTGACAAATTATGCTGCAGTTAACCTTAACTTTTCCACAGAACTGAAAAATTGTTTGTCAGTGTTAAAAACAGCCAGTACCAGTCATCATATGGAAACAGTAAAACTATATATATATATATATATATATAGTTACACACACACATATATACACACACACACCCCTTTATGTTACTTTTATCATTCTTCTGTGAATAGTCTGTCAGTGTAGTGTTAGTGGGGGAAAATGAGTTTCAGAAATTGGAGATGGCAATATAATGAAAAGTGGGATTTAAAGAGAAGGCTTGCAGTTAGAAGCTGGCTGAGGGAAAGTGACTGATGCCAATTTGCCAGCAGTCTGCCTGGAGGGTGTCAGCCATCTCTCAAGAATGCTAGCAAGTCAGCCAACCAGTAATCTAGTTAAGTTATTACAGACAGCCCAAGGTAAGTGTAAAGAGTATGTTTTTTGCAAGCCTAGTGTAGTATTTTGACTGCTTAGCAAGTTGAATACTATTTGTTAGTGGGTTTTTTTAGTTTCTAGTTATACACTGTTCATTTGGATATTTAATGTTTGTTGCTGTTTTCATTTGCTGGCTGCTACACAATTTTGATGACATCCCGTTCAGATTATTTCTGATGGATGTACTTTTTATTCTGCTTTGCTGAAGTTATTGTGATGTACGTCTCTACTTAATGGTCTCATTATTAAGACCAAAGGTTTTTCTTAAAAAGTGGAAGGAAATGTAGCAGCATATGGTTTGGAAAAGTTTTTTTTTTAAAAGGACCCTGTATTTTTAATGATTGTATTTCTTAATAAAAAAAAAAAACTTTCATGTTTAAACTTTGTGTTACCAAAATTTTTCCTAATAAATGCCTGGAAATGTATCACTCTTCAGATATCCTCACCCTGTCACTATGTATATATCTTGTCTGTAACCAAAGCAGTCAGTAATCTTTATGTTAAGGAAAATCTGATTTTGCCGAATTTATTGCAGATTTTATATTTTACTGCCCCTTTAGAATATTCAGGATGAAATTTTTGGGTTGTTTTTTTTAAGGTAATCAGTTCCATTATTATTACTTTCTTGTAGAGCTGAATGGGAATAAAAGCACAAAAACATTTTAAAATTACATTACCTTTGATTCAGTTAAAATCTTAAGCAGTATTTGAACAATTTAAATATCAGTAGCTCAGGGAGGAAAGGTTTGATGAAGAGCTCATGCTTAAGTTCTGCTATCTTAAAAGTCAATCTGAAAATATTCCCTCTGCTCCTCTATTTCCTTTTTTCCATTTTGGAGTCAGAAGAAACCAGGACAGTAATATTTATTATATAAGACTTTGAAGTATCTCCCTACTTTCTTGTTTTTCTGCGATTAAGAACTTTTCTAGCAGTAAATAGTATTTACATCCAGGTAATGTCATTACTTGGATGTAAGTAACTGTAGAATTCCTCATTTTAATGTATTAAATGCCTATAAACAAAGTTTGTCACATGAAGGAAAAAAAGGCAAATTACTACTCACACTCAGCCCACATTTTTCACTTTAGGGTTTAAAATAACAATATTATTACTTGACACCTAAGTGTTTGTTTTCCTTAATGTCTTAAAAAAATTAATATTAAGTAATGGAGAGTGTGACTAGGCACTTGGCCTAAGAGAGTTAAGATTTTTTTTTTCCCAGTGTGCTCATCACCATAACACGTATTGTGTTGCTGACTAACTTGTTTATATTAAATCTAAATCATGGTCTCTGACAATATTTTAAAGGTTAATTTTATCCTATAGAGTCTCCTTTTTAACTATTTGTGACATTTTTATAGTTCAGTTAGTCTTTGCTCTAAAGTCCAAGTTTGAAAAAGTAGATATTGAAAATTTGGAGGTTACTTTTAAATAAAGTTAGGAACACACTACAAGATAAATTTTGGCCGTAACTATTGGTTAATTTGCCCTTTAATATTCCTAAATATTTGAACTGCAGAACATGGCAATTTTTTACCTTACATGGTACAGTATTACATTTATTTCAAAGCATGTTTGGTATAAGATTTCAGAATCGTATTATATTTTGCTTGCATAGGTGTTTAAAGCAGAAACTGGAGAGAAACTTCAGAGTGTAGAAGCTCATGATGATGAAGTACTTTATTGCGCTCTCTCTCCAGATGGTAGATTCATAGCAACTTGTTCAGCAGATAACAAAGCGAAGGTAAGGAAATGGTCCTCTGACACCTTTTCACCGTAGAACAAGGAGGTTTTATTTCTAAACTCTAACAAATTCCAGGTGATTCAGTTTTTAAGAGCGTTTTCATTGAGGTGTAATTTATGTAGAAAGTAAGCTTTGTAGTTGTTGTTTTTAATTTAACTTATCTTGGAAAATAAGATGTGCATCAAACGTACAAAATAAAACTAATTGTAGCATTTACTATTTTAGTCAAGTGTCAGAGTCTGGGTGGATATTTTGAGATAAAATGGTAGGAACATACTTGTATTTACAGTATGTCATGCCATAATAATTTATGCTTGTTGCCTCTATTGTTTCACTTAGATAACAAGCCAAAAAAAAAGCTTGTTTTAGCTTGCTGCTTTGGCATTTGGTATTTCTTTATTATAATAAGGCATTAAGAAATCTGAATTTACTTCTTATTCTCATACTAAATAAGGATATTTTCCTTGCATCACCTCAGTTTTTCAAACATTTAAACCAGGTCCAGGTTCTCCAAAACATGGAGCCCAGGACCAAGTTCTGGCAAGAATGAATTCATATTAATTGGTTGTAAGCATCCTGCTAAGCTTTTATAATTTCACCTTTTCCTTTTCCCCTCTCCTCTTTTTCCCTTCCTTTTCCCCTTTTCCTCCTTTCCTTTTTCTTTTTTTTTTTTTAACATGACCATTCTTGTCATTTTAAAAGGATCCTGTATCTCCCTATTTTAGTCAGTTTTACATTCCCTCCCTGCCCCACCTCCCCCAGCTGTGGTGGAAAGATTGTTAATTATATTGTTGCAAATGGATGAAAAGTGCATTTAGTTTAACTTAGATTGAAAGATGTTCCATGATAGTTTTTATTTAGGAATGTACTTGTCTAGAAGTAAATAAATGAATTCCAAAATCTCTTCTTTAAATTATTTGTGTTTAGATCTGGTGTTTAAGAACAGGCCAGAGTATATATGACTGTGAGGAACATACAGAGCAGGTCAACTGTTGCCATTTTAACAGTGGAAATAATAAGCTTCTCCTGACTACCTGCTCAAATGACAGTTTGCTCAAGGTAAGTAGAAAATGCAGTGTTTTATTTTGCTTACAATGAAAAACATTGCTGGGTTTTTTTTGTGTGCATGCTCTTTTCAAACACCACAGACCAAATATTTTGCTTCCATAAACTATTAGACAAGGCAAAAATGAATAACAGTATATGAAAGGAAGGGTAGAGGGCAGTTTTTTGGAGGGTAGGTAAAATTGCTAGAAGTATGTTTTAACCAAGGATAATGACATTTAGAAGAGAACGAAGACTGCTTTTTCATTATTAGTATTATCTTGTACTTAATTGCTGGGGTAAGAAATTGAAAGTTGTGACTAATGGGAAAAATGAAAAAGGAGTCACCAGTTACAAGGGGCATAGCTAAAAGAAAATGAGTTGAATGGTAGGAGAGGAAAAGATTACCTAGATCTTTTAGGCTCTGAGGAGGAACTGAATTGGGGTAGATTGGGTTAGGTTAACATTAGTTATATTAAAAAGGAGTTGACTGATTAACAGTGGAATTAGGGAGGTTGGGAGCTAGTCTGCAGTTAATAAAAGTTTTTAATAGATTGGAGTTCTTGGCCAATCAAACTTCTGTTTAAAATTTAGGAGAAAAATGCAATATTTGAGAATACACTGATCCCTGGCCATTCTAGAAAATATACTTGAAAAGGGTCTTGTGATAGAAGATTGGAACATGTTAGAACAATAGATCACCTGTACATGAAGTTGGTAATTAAAATTTTGCAAGGTAGGATTTTTATGTGAAAGGTAACAGAGCGTGTCTCCACTGTAGAGATCACGTGAATTTCTTTAGTGTGTGCTAAACATCCCTCAGGGGTGTAGGTTGTAGTTGTGTTGGTCTAAGGACATTTCATAGATTTCATAGACATTAGGGCTGGAAGGG